TACTTGCGATCGGATGATTGATCGTGTGTGCTGCACAGAAGATCAACCCGCCGGCGAGCGACCTGTTTATTTACCCACCTGACAGTCCTCGACCGAACCGTCGATCGGTCAGGAAATCTGCCAGGATCAACTGATTGGTCGACAACTCGGTTGGCGATTGCTCTGCTGGTTGATCAACCACCACACCAACCACCAACCGAGCAGCCGATCGACTGTTCTGTGCTAATTGATCGTGGAGAACGATCGTGGAGAATCCTTCGTCGGACGGATAAAAAGTGACGATCCCGATCTTCGAACGGATAAAAAGCACAACCGATCGAAAAAACGTCCATCCCGATCTTCGAACGGATAAAAAGCACTTCGTCACAATCTTGTTGCACATGGAACCTCGTATAACATCGAACCATGCTGCCCACGGAACCTGGCTCCACATCAAACCTCRGCGGGCGTCGAACCTCGTCGGACGTCGAACTTTGAGCACCCACCACCCCACGCGTCGCCGACACTGTCCTCGTGATCGGAACGTGGTCGTTCCAACCGAACTGATCGCGCAATCAAACACCGGAAGAAGTTGGGATCCCGGCGAGCTTGTGCAGTTGTTCGAACACGCTTCTCAACCCCGMTGCGCAACCACAACCAGGGACGTGGAAAATTAGAAGTCCGCCGGGATCCGAACTTCAAGAAATTGCTGGACGGCGAGTTTGGCAGACACGTGCGCATCTCCCACGCAATTTCGCCAAGTTCGGATCTCGGCGAACTTCATGCAGCTGTTCGAACACGCTTCGCAACCCCGGTCCCGAACCACAGCCTGGGACGTGTAAAAACTGGAAGTCCGCCGGGATCCGAACTTGAAGAAATTGCTGGACAGCGAGTTCGGCAGACAGGTGTATGTCTCCCATGCAATTTCGCCAAGTCCGGATCCTGGCGAACTTCATGCAGCTGTATGTCTCCCTCGCAACCCAGGTCCGCAACCACAGCCAGGGACGTGGAAAAATATGAAGTCCACCGGGATCCGAACTTCAAGAAATTCGCAGGACGGTGAGTTTGGCAAACAGGTGTGTGTCTCCCACGTTATTTTGCCAAGTTCGGATCCCGGCCACGTACAGGTTCTTGATGGCCTGCGGATCCAAACCTCGCTCGCACTATTCCTTGCACACTCGTCGAGTCCAGACCTCGGCGAACCTCGGATCCGTGATAATGCGAAGTCCACCGGGATCCGGACTTCTACTGCACGATTCCTCGCACAGACGTCAAGTTCGCACCCCGGCGACTTCGCTTGTCTCAATGTGCGCATTCAGAACGCGGGTTTCTAGCTCCCGGGGTTTGGCTCAACTTTGTATTTGAAAAAATCTGTTGCCCGCCGGTTGATTCTCTCCCACGCGGTCTCGAGAAGTTCGGATCCCGACGAACACCCTCTCGTGGATCCAGATATCGCGTGGCAAGTTCGGACCCCGGCGAACTTCGCATCGCGCATGGTGTGGGTACTGACTGTGTCCTTTCTCGCGAATGGGTGTTTGCCACAACTTTTGTTTCGCGAAAATGTGAACTCCGCCGGGATCCGTACTTCTCGTGCAAAGGTTCCTCGTCCCATCGTCGGGTTCGCCTGCTGGGCCGTGGATCTGAACCTGCTGTCTTCCTTTCGCAATGCATGTGGCAGGAGATGTTCCATTCGCAAGTTCGGATCCCGACAAATTTTCCAAGTTCGGATCCCGGCGAATTTGATCTGTCTTCCTTTCGCAATGCATGTGGCAGGAGATGGTCCTGCAGGGCCGTGGATCAGAACCTGCCGTGCATGGTTCCTCAGACAATCGTAAATTTCGGATCGCAGCGGACTACAGATTCTATAAAATGCAAAGTTCGCTGAGATCCGAACTTCCCGTGCACAGTTCATCGGAAAACCGTCGACTTCGGACCCCGGCGTGCTTCACCTTTCGGGTGCTGCGGGTTCTGACTGTGGACTTCCTGGCGACCGGTGGATTGCCACAACTTTTCATTCGTGCGAAATTGAAGTCCGCCTGGATCCGAACTTCTTGGAAGTTTTCGACGTCGGGTTTGGGAGACAGCTTCGTCTTTGCCGCGCAGTCTCTCCAAGTTCGGATCCAGGCGAACATGTCGCTGGGTGTGTTTGCGGCTGGCCTGCGGACCGGTAGATGTGAACACCGACGAAGCCGGCAACCCGAAATCGAATCTTGGGGCATACACTGCGTCTAATGCCATGGGTCGCACATCGCGAGACATGACGCATTTACGAGTGTCTCCGTGCCCGTGTGTGTCGTCGGGCATGTGCGCGTGGTGTGCAGGTTGTGTGATGGAGGGGACCTTCTCGACACCATGCATCTTCGAGTCGATCTTCTCGAGAYCACAGGCCATGAGTGTCGAGACGCACATTCGCTTAGCAGAACCTTTTCGTCCTTGTGCGAAATCCGTGCGGCATTTCAACGGTGTGACGACGATCCACGGAGCGACCGCAGAGGACTTCGACGAGGACCCATGGATGGTCG